AACAACAACAACATAAAGGCAAGAAATAACTGGCTTACAAGCTTTCAAGAGGGAGCCTAGTTCCAGACAGGGCGGGGGAAGGTGGAATCACCACTGAATGATTTCCACTCTGTTGGGACCAGGCTGGCGAAAGGAAATGGGGATGAGACTCTTATGGTACAATAGTGAATAATTGTCATCAGGACTGACTGTGAGGGTCTGAAATGTAGAGGTAGATGTTTTTTGACAAAAGGGGGGTGGGGAGTGATTGATTTTGCAGCCCAGGAGCAGAGGTCCCTGGGACCATCAAGTGAGAAGATCGGAGAGCGTGACCCTACCAGAGACACAGTGATGGCAGGGATGGAGACAGACGGAGCGGCTGGGGACACTGGACTCAGGGACGGAGAAGGGCTGTGTGCTGGCGGCAGGGGGGCCGGCCTGTGTGGTTTACCCTTTGGTTATTTAATGATGCATGGAGGGGATAGCAATCATTGCAATGAAATGAAATACAATGGGATGATCTCCCATGTAAACCTCACAATAAAAACTTTTTAAAAAATGGGGGACTGGGGTGCGTCAGTGGGCATAGACGGGGCTCTGTGCTCACCCCAAGGTGGCTAGCTGTGGAGGCAACAGGGGAGGGCCGAAAACATCTTCACTGCCCAGCATGGAGCCAACCGCTCACCTGGGCCAGGGGCCAAGAGACGTAATAGTAATTTCTTATAAACACCAAGGTGGTGCCAGGGCACTCTCACTTGGGCACTGGAAAATTTACTCCCTGCTTCTCAGCTCCCCATGTCCCCTGTCCCATGGGACCCCTGGTGACCACATTACCACCTCATGTCTACCTGCAGGCACTCTTGCTCCTTTGGTGTTAATATTGCTGTTGAGTGGGGTACAACAGAATGAAACGCTGCCGGGTGGTGGGTCGGGCACTGTCTCAGTCATTGTTGGCACGGGAGTGCACTGGCAGCTACTGACTCCCTCATTTTACTGACCCTCCTCCAAACACGTCCCAGAGTCTGCCCTCCTGCTTCAGGTCACCATAGATTGGACCAGTTGTTTGAGAACTTCACCCACATGGGTCTGTACGGTGTGTAGTCTTCAGTGCCCGTTCCTTGTTGCTGAGTGGTTGTGTGGACAGGCCCCAGGTATGGACGCCTCTCCTACACGGATACCCGAGTCTGTCAGTCACTGGGTCAAGCTCATAGGGCAGCTTGAGGCCTGGGGTCAGAGCCTGACCGGTGAATACCTGGTGAGAGCGAGGAGTGTGCCGTGTCCCCATGACATTTGTTTCCTGCACCCCGCCAGGTGCCCCCCACCACGGGAGACACTAGGGTGAGCCAGATTGGCAGGGGGAGGTGAGGGCTGGTGGGGCATGTTCGGGGGGAGCTATGGCTGCCTCTCAGGGCTCCCTGGGATGTCCAGCCCCTTCCCAGTGCCCAGGATGCCCCCACGTCCTCCACTCCCCACCGGCCTCTGAGAGATCTGTACTCACTTGACACCGTGTGCATTTTCTGCAAAGTGGACACTGAAGTCTCCAAGCGGTCTGTTCCCCACCCCACAGAGGTTTGGAAGCACTGGCCCAGAACAGAGGTTCCCCGGAGCGGGATGCAGGGACGCATAGTGGCAATGACCTCACAGCTGAGCCAGGCACCAGCCCCTCAGATCTCATTTATTCCTGCCGAAAGCCTCTTGTGGAGGCCACGGCCACCCCTCCTGTCCAGGGTCCTGGATGGTGTGCTCAGCCACCCTCCGTGTGGCTCGCCCAGCCTTCTCTGTGCTGTGCTTCATCGCCTGCACGGTGCTCCAGGCTCCTCACCCTGGTCCAGGGCCCTTGGTGGTTCTGCCTATGGTTCCTCGGAAGTGTCATGGGCTGGTGGTGTCATCCTGGCTGTTGGGAGCCCTCATGGCCTGGTACAGGCTGAGGACAGACGACACGGTGCCCAGGAGACCCACCAGCCACGGCGGGAAGTGGCCAGCCCACAGCACCCCCGGGGGCAGCCAGTGCACCGCATTGGCCAGGTCAGCCAAGTTGCTGAGCAGCGTCAGCATCTCTGACTGTATCTGCAACTCCAGGACCCTCCGCCGGCCCCGGGGCGGCTGCCTGTGGGGAGCGAGGGGACATGCTTACACCAGAGAGGACATGACAGCAAGCCCTATATGGGTGGGGCCACTGTGCTATCCTGATCTTCCCACCACATCCCCAGACCCCAGTGCCTCTCCTAGTGCTCCAAGGTCAGTAGGGAGGTGGGTGGGGGCGGGCTGGTGGGAAGGTCTGGCCTGGTCATCATCACTCTGGTGGCTCTGTGGGAAGCCCAGGGACCCCAGAGCCAGTGACAAGGATGAACAAGTGATAATGTGCTGAGATACAGATTTCTCCCTGGTCGTGTACGTGTGGGCTGTCAACCATGAGGCAGTAGTGAAACTCCATCAGCCACTCCGCAGGGGAAGGTGAGGCTTTCTGCTCCCTAAACAGGGTTGCTAGAAGGTGGAACTGACTCAGTGGCAGCAGCAGCAGTATGGGGGGGGGGGGGAAGGCCCACCCCAAGTCCTCACTTACCCCACCTGTAAAAGGTACTACCTGGGGGCTGTTGGAGTCTGTGGGCTGGGCATGTGGCAAGGCTGTCCGTGGGGGCTCTGGGCAGCTCCCCTGAGGACCCATGGAGTCGGGTAGGGAGGGCATAGAGGAAGTACGTCTGACTCCTGGGGACCACCAGATACCGTACCCCGAGAAGGTGGTTGTGGGGTTCCTCAGTCTCTGCCTCAGCTTCAGCACCATCCACAGGGACCTGCAACATCACAGAGCAAAGGGGACACCCCCAAGGGTTTGACAGCAGCAGGCCATCATCTCCTGGAGGTCTGCCAAGCTCACCAACAGGCGACTCCTCCCCTCCCTGCCAACAGGATGCAGCACCCTCCACACTTCCACCATCCCCCAGAGGCCCAGGGCCAGGGCCTCATCACAAATGCAGACCCCACGTGCCAGATAGAGGGGTATCTGCTGCTTCCACTGTGACCACCAGGCCCACCTGCCTCACCGTCCCTCCACGCTGAACCAAGACCACCCAGTGCTGACAAATGGCCTCCGTGACCGGTACAGACTCACCCCGATACACACCAACACACAAACCCATACAGACCCATAGACACACACACTGTGGATATGGCCCCGGTCCAGCCAAAACATGAATCCACCAGCTGGAAGACATCCCAACTGGAAGTACCAGGGCCCATCCGTGGACCCAGCCAGGTGACATATTCTCATGGGGTCCGGGACACAGGGCAACCCAGCAGGTGCTGCAGAAACAGTGAGGGGCTTTGCTAAGGGGTGAAGACAGCGGTGCGACAGGAAGAGGAAGCTTCATCACCAGGAAGAAGTGTGAACTCTGCTCGACTGCTCTTTCAAAGGCTGATGTGATGAAGAAGGTACTGAGAGATGGGCCAAACAGCCTCAGCTGTGCAGAACAGCCCCAGCCGGGGCCATACCTGCTCCAACTCACACCGAGAACACTTGCGCAGAGAGGACTCCCTCCATGCAGTTCTCAGCCACAATGTGTCCGGCCTGCTGCTGCCTGACAGACCCCAGTTCTGCAGCTGTAACACACTTGGGTTTCTTCCCCACATCATGACTTCAGGAAAGAACACCTAACTCCCAGTCACTGGGGACTCCACTCCCACTGGTGGTGGTCTCATGGGTGTCAGAGCACCACTGTGCTCCATGGGGTTTCCGGAGCTGATCTTCCAGCAGATCACCAGGCCTTTCTTCAGAGGAGCCTCTGAGTGAACTCAAACTTCCAACCTTCTGGTTGGCTGAACCCAAAACCATTTATACCACCCCTACCAGTTATGAGGAGTCCTGGTGTGGGTTAATGTGCCAGACTGCAAAGCTGTTTGGACTGCAAGGTCAGCGGTTCAAGCTCACCAGTCACTCCTTGGAAACCCTATATAGGGTTGTTATGGGTCAGAACTGACTCGATGGCACTTAACAACAACCAGTTATGAGGAGCCCTAGTGGTGCAGTGAGTTAGACATTGGGCTGCTAACCACAAGGTTGGTGGTTCAAACCCACCAGCCACTCCATAGGACAACGATGAGGTTGCTGTGAGGAGCACTTCTATTCTGTCATACTGAGTCACCATGCATTGGAATCAACTGGATGGCAGTGGATGGCTGTCTACCAGATGTCACAGGATGATGGCTGTCTACCAGATGTCACAGGATGATGGCTGTCTACCAGATGTCACAGGACGATGGATGTCTACCAGATGTCACAGGACGATGGCTCAGGACCGGGCAGGCTCTTCTTGTACTACTGCATGAAGACACTATGAACCACCAATTTGATCGATGGTACCTAACAAGGCGAGCGCTGCTATTTCAGTGGTAGAATTCTTGCTTTCCATCTGGGAGACCTGGGTTCGATTCCTGGCCCATGTACCTTATTTGCAGCCATCAAACACCTGTCAGTGGACACTTGTGTGTTGCTGTGATGGTGAGCTTTCAGACTAAGACAGACTAGAAAGACCTGGAGATCTACTTTAACCAATCGGCCCATGGAAACCCTATAGATCACAGAGGTCTGCCCAGACACTCTCATCTGTGGTGCATTCACTGCCTCACCATGGGTCGGGCCCCACTCGAAGGCAGCTAATAGCAGCAATAATACAGGGGGGCATCGAAAAGGTCATGAAAAAATTCCATTCTCTTTGCAATCCATTTTTCCATGAACTTTTTGACATCACCTCGTAAAGGAGGGATGCTCAAAACATAGAAACAGAACATATCTCTGGCCCAGGGACAAGGGACAGCAGACCTGGGCCACCCCCACCACCAGGTATGGCAGGGCCCACAGTGCCACCTCGCCTGCCTTCACGGAGCAGAGATCCTCGCTGCCCTCTCACACGGGACTCGGGGACCTGCCCCTTCTGTGTTCGCTGGGACAGGGGACTCAGAGAACAGACTCAGCAAGGTGGCCAAGAGGAGAAGGTGTGGACAGAACCAGGTGTCTTCCAGAGCATGAGGCCATCAGGAAGCTCTGGCTGTTTGATTTGGGGACATCTCCTGATGCCAGCACAGGCAGGACAGAGGACCTGGGTCTAAGCTGCCACGCTGACCACTTCTCTCCAAGCCCTCGAGTGCCTTCTTCTTCCTGGGTGTGGTAGACAAGACAATGCTCCTTCCCAAAGATGTCCACGTCCTCATGCCCAAAACCTGTGAATGTACTGCCTGCCAGAGCAGAGGGCCTCTGCAGATGGAGATAAATTAGGCCCTTGGGATGACAGGTGAACCTGAAGCATCCAGACAGCCTGTCATCACAGAGGGAGGCGGAAGGCCAGAAGAGGAAGTGTAACAAGGGAAGAAGAGACCGCAGGGATGCGCGTAAAAGGAGGAAGCCACGAGCCAAGGAATGTGGGCAGCTACTAAAAGCTGGACAAGGCCAGCCGGCTCCTTGACTTGAACCCAGAAAGCCATGTTGGGTGGGGTGGCTGGGTTCTGGAACCGGGAGACAGTAAACGTGTGCCACATTACAGCAGCCACAGGGAGTCATATGGCAGGGTCCCGTGAGGACCCCACCTGCAGACGCAGTCCCCACCAAGTCCCCGGCAGCCCCACTTACCTGGCAATGCCCAGGAGCAGGGAGAGGCCCCAGAAAGCTGTGCTCAGTGCCCACCAGCGGGCAGCGTCCACGTGGAGGATCTTGGCATCAGCAGCCCAGGCAACGTGCTCGCAGGGGTAGTAGAGCTGGTCGGCCAGGTTGCCCAGAACAGACACCCAGCGGACAAAAATGTCCTCCTCCTGCAGGACAGGAGTTGACCCAGCTGGACCTGAGCCAAGCTGGCCAGAACCATGACAAATGCCCACCTTTCCTTCTCAGAGGCAGTCACTGGGATCCAAGTCTCTTTGAGAGTTACCGCCCTAGCTAAGGGTTCTGGGGGCATGGCTTCAGGGGCAAGGGCAGTAGGCAGGCTGGCCCCCAAGGACCCGGGCCCATGGTGGACCTCTACCGAGGAAACAGGAGGCTGGGCTGGGCTCATGCAATGTGGTGCTCCGTGCCCATCAAGGTAGAGGCTCAGCATAGCTAGCTGCACATGGAATCCCACCCTTGGAGAGACTGGCTGCTGGGACATCCCCCCTTCCCCACTATCAAGATTCAGACTCCCGTGGTGTGGGAGGGGCCCCAGCACTGGGAGGTTTGGAAGTTCCCAGGAGACTCCAGCACCCAGAGACTCACAGCTTCAGAGCTGCCAGTGCCCCAGAACCAGTTCTCCACTACCTGGAACCAGACCTGAGAGGGGTGGAGAGGGAACCCCTGCAGAACCTGGGGGTGGTGTCAGAGAGGGGTCACCATGCCCACAGTGAGCACCCCAACAGCACCCTCCCCTCCCTGCCCCCACCTCACTGCCAGCACAGCCCTCGGTGCTCTTCTTCCCAGAACCCTCTGGACCCACCAGCGCTTGGTGATACTTCCCAGCCCCTCCTGCTCCCCCATGTTGCTCAGGCCCTTCAGGGGCATTCTGGCACATTTCCACACCTCCCTGAGGACGGGGACCCCAAGCCCAGTGTGTTCATTGTGCCCATGTGTCCTGAGATGTCACAGAGCCCATACGCTGGGGGAGGAGGGTATAGACAGACGTGGGCTCTCACTCATTCTGATCAAGAGGGACTCGAGGGCCTTTCGCAGAAGCCAAGGGCTCTCGGTGGCAGTGGGTGGGAAAGCGGCAGCAGCGAGGGGCTCAGAGGAAACCCTAGAGGGCACAGACCTGGCTGCTGTAAGTTTGAAGAGAAGGACTGACCAGTGACCATCTGCCAGGTCGCCCTGCGGTTACCCTTTGCACTCTGACCCGGGCTTTCTGAGCCACTGGCGCGTGCATGATCCAGGGCTTCCAACGGGCAGCAGAGCTGCAGGAATTGCCGTTGTAAACAAGGGTTGCCTTAGCGTTTAATAGCGATGAACATTGGAAGGTTGCAGCTGATGGTGCCACGGTGAACGTGTGTTCATCTCCAGAGTCCTTCCAACCAAGCTGTGTAATAAAAGTCCTACCACAGCCCTTTCTCCTGGAAGTTTCCGGAGCCCAAGGTGGGAGCCTGAACTCGTGGCAGGACTTAGGTCCGCCGCCATCTTTGAACCGGACACCAGTGTCTGTTTGCTAAACCCCGAAATCCACTGTCACCGAGTGAATTCTGACTCAGCGCGATCCTTCATGACAGAGGCTGCTCCCTGGGGTTTCCAAGGCTGTCGTTCCTTAAGGGAGCAGGTTTGAACCGCTGACCTGTGGTTAACAGCCATCAGCTTAACCCACCAAGTCACCAGGGCTCCTCTGTTTGTTTCCTACTCGATTTGAAAGACTTCTTGTTGCAGTTACATGCCACCAAGTCGGTTCTGACTCATAGTGACAAGCGCCTGGTGGGTTTGAACTGCTGGCCTTGTGGTTAGTCTTTTGTTGTTGTTTAGTGCTGTCGAGTCGGTTCCGACCCATAATGACTCTGAACAGGGTTTCCGAGGCTATAAATCTTTACAGGAGCAGAAAGCCTCATCTTTCTCCCACGGAGCAGCTAGTAGTTTCGAACTGCTGACCTTGTGGTTCACAGCCTGATTCGTAACCACTACGCTACCAGAGCTCCTTTGTGGTTAGTCTAGTGGGCAACAAATCTGACTGCTATGCAGCGTATACGCGGCCCTTGTTACCACAGCAATTTCAATGGGTTCAAAGCCCTGTACTAATCTGACCTCAACGGAGGACCAGGAGAGATGTCCACCAGCAGCCAAGCCAGGACCTTGGACTTCATCCTGCAGAACTCACCCCTCCCCCTCAGCTCTGAGGACACTGAGCCGGATCCTTCTGGGGTGGGGCATCCTGTGCACTGGGGGGTGCTGAGCAGCATCCTCTTGATGCCAGTCGCACTGTTGTGACAATAAAATGTCTGCAGACATCAGGAGGGACTCTGGGCCCCTTGACAGAGGAGAGAGGTGTGTCGGGTGCGGAGGGAGGGAGGGAGGTCTCTGGAGATGAACGGAAGTGCTCCAGTCAGACAAGCAGCATGACAAGGAGGAGAAATGGGGAGACAAGTCCAGGGAGATATAGGCGATCTCGGCGGCTCGGCCTGGCGGTGAGCTGGGGGGGATCTGAGTAGGGAGGGGCTCAGAGAGGAGACCCCTGGGACGGCAGCTGGGGAGAGTGTGCCTCAGCGGGGCTGACCCAGAGCACCCTCCCAGGTCAGCCTCTGGAGAAACGTCCCCAAGGACAAGATCACCATCCCCGGGCAGGTGAGAACCCCAGGTCTGGGGTACAGCAAAATAAGACAAATAATCCCCATGCCATCAACTGGTTACATAATCCCTAGCCCATCTACACAGCAGACACTACCACCCATTTGTCCCTTGGTGGGACTGTGCTGTGTGACCATGTTGCTGGAAGCTATGCTACCAGTATTTCAAAATACCAGCAAGGTCACCCATGGAAGACAGGTTTCAGTGGTGTTCCCAGACTAAGACAGACCAGGAAGAAAGTCCTGGTGATCTACTTCCAAAAATCAGCAACGAAAACGCTATGGACTACAACAGAGTTCTGTGCAATGCCATGCTAGAAAATGACCCCTAGGTGAGAAAATGCTCAAAATCCACAGCAGCTGCAACCAGCGACTCACACAGAACAAGGATTGACAAGATGGCGCGGGCCTGTGCAATGTACTGTTCTTTTGTACGTGGGGTCATCATGAGTTGGCACCAAGTTGACAGCAACTAAAAACAGCCACATGGCCAGAAGGCAGGAAGCGGCACTTTTTAAACCGATAAGGGATGATCTTCAAGAAGCAAGTGGCAGAAGAGTGTAAGTAACACTCAACAACTTACATAAATTATATGTGTAAGGTCCCTGGGTGTGTAAATGGTTTACACTTGACAGCTGACACTTTGAACCCTCTCAGGGGTGCTATGGAAGAAAGGTCTGGCAATCTGCTTCCAAAAAGATTACAGTCAAGAGAACCCTATGAAAACTTTTTAGCCATAACCAAACACCTTGAGGGGATAAGTCACCCAAGATCATAGTCTCAGGGAACATCAAGGTCAGATGGTCAGATGGAATAACACAGTCCTCAAAGACAACGTTCTACTTTGATGAGTAGCAACTAGGGCCTTCAAAGCTTGTGAGCAGCCATCTAAGATGCAACTCGTGGTCTTTTCCCGCCTAGGGCAAAGATAAGTGAATAAAGCAAACGATGCAAGGACACAATTAGTCCAAAGGATAGACCACATGGACCTCAGCGTGCATAACCCTGAGACCAGAAGAACTAGATGGTGCCCGGCTACTACTGCCTACCATTCTGAAAGGCTTCACAGAAAGGATTCTGGAAAGAGTGACAGAAAAAATGTGGACCCAAATGCAAAAGCATAAAAAAGACCAAAGGCACGAAGTGACTGGCTTACAAGTTTTCAAGAGGGAGCCTAGATCCAGAGGGTGTGGAGGATGGTAGAATCTCCACTGAATAGTATCCAATCTGTCTGGGTGGGGCTGATGAAAGGAGACGGGGATAGCACTCATGTAGTACGATTGTGAATAATTGCTATCAGGACTAACTGTGAGGGTTAGAAACGTAAAGGTGGATGTTTTGTAGCAAAAGGAGGGGAGTGATTGACTTTGCAATCCAGGAGCAGAGGACCCTGGGACCATCAAAGGAGAAAAGCCGAGTGTGGGACCCTACTCAGAGAAACAGTGACACCAGAGATGGAGGCAGAGATGATGATGTGGAGAGATGGAGTGGCTGGGGACTTTAGACCCAGAGAGGGAGAGGGGCTGTGTGCTGACGGGGGGGTAGGGGTGGGGGTGGGCAGGCTTGCAGGGTATACCCTTTGGTTGGTTGATGATGCATGGAGGGGAATGTAACCATGGCAATGAAATGATAAATAGGATGAATGTAAAGCTAATGTTCTCTCATGTAAACTATCACATAATTCACAATAAAACACTTCAAAAAAAAAAAGAAGATTAGGCTTATGGATCAGATAGAGACTGTGACCAAACTAAACACCCTTTAAGCCTGGAAGTGGCTCAACTTTAACCTTAACAACAGAGAGGTCTAGAAGGACTCTGGGTATGGCACTGTAGGAGAAGCACTGGACTGACAAGCACAATGTCAGTGGTTCAAACCCACCAGCCGCTCCTTGGAAACTCTATACAGGGTTAGCACGAGCTGGAACCAACTCAGTGGCACTTAACACCAATAACAACCTGAGGTGAACAATCGGACCAAGAGATAAAGCACTTCTTATAGTTACCAACCACTGGAGCTCAAAAGGGCAGCCGTGGTCCACTAACAGAGCTCAGGAGGCAGGAGGAGATAGAAAAGAAGGAAGGATGGAGACAGGAACCCCAGGGAGGAGGTGGGATGAGTGATGTTACATTGTGAGGACTGCAGTCAATGGCATGAAACAACATGTGTCTGAATTGTGGAATGGAAAACTGATCGGCTATGTAAACCTTAGCCAAATTCACACACACACAGTTTGCTTTTCCTTTTTTTTCTGCTCAATAAAAAATTTTAAAAGAGAGAGATCCCTATGAAGTAGTTCAATTCTCTGTCACATGGAGTCACTATGAGTCAAAATTGGCTCAACAGCAAAAGTTTATTTGCTGTGTAGCTATAAGAAATCTCTCTCTCAACAAGACACAGAAACCGACCCCAGTGGCTGTCTCTGAGGGGGGAAGCTGAGGGTCTGGAAGACCAGGGAAGGAGGTACTCTTTGAACCTTAGAAGTTGAAATGTATTTCCTATCTTTTTTTTTTCCCCATTTAAAAATAAAACGAGAATATCTGATCATCTCAAAAAAAGAAAAAATTAAAATAACTCTCACACAGGGAGCATTTTGGGACAAGTTCATCAAATGCAGATGGAGGCACACAGCCCCAGGCTTCCTGAGACCTGCACCCCCCACACACACCGCAGTTTCATGAGACCCCATTACCTCTGCCCCCAAGCCATACTGCTTAGTGTAGACAAACATGGCCAGGTCGTCAAAGAGTCGCAGGACGGTCCTGCAGTGGCTGAGCTGGGCAGATACCGCCAGCAGGCGTGTCCCCACATCTGACCTGGCAGGGCATTGTTCCACCAAGATCCCGCCGACCAACTGGCAACAGTACCCCAGTGTTCGGATCTGCAGGAAACCAGAGAGAGTCAACAAGAGACTGCTTCTTGCCTGGGCTGGATCACCCTGACCTGGCCCCATGAGATCAAGCACACAGAAGATTCTAGATCAACATACTTTCAATAAAAGCTGAAGGTTTAAAAAGACACCAGGAAGTGGGACAAATCATCATCCCAATCATAAAGGGCACCATCCAGAGTCTCAGGAGTTCTGGCTCATGTCATCAGAGGATACGGCCTTTAGAGACAGATGTGAAAGGGCCAAGAAAACAAAACCCCCATTTTCTACCTTCTGGGTCCTCCTTCCTCCAGCAGGCAGGAGGACTAGGCTGAAATGTACACACTTACATCTACTTAGGTAGTCGCTGGGTGATGCAAACAGTTAACCTGCTGGGTTAACAAACGATGTAGGTTTGAGTCTACCCAGGGGCACCTCAGGAGAAAGGCCTGGTGATCTACATCCAAAAAAACCAGTCCTTGTACAAATCCTGTAGAGTACCAGTCTACTCTGACACACATGACGTCAGCATGATTTGGAATCAGCTTGATGGTAACTGTTATTTTTAGCTGGACCAAAGCCAGGCTGGGGGCTAGGGAGCCAGTGATCTGGCCTGAACTCAGAGAACCCAATGAAAGCAGTTGCTTTGGAGCATTGAAGACTACATTAGGGTTGTATCTGTAAAGCTCTCATCCGTTTTTCAGAAATTGCTTTTTCCTGTTGCTCTATATATTATTTTTATTTGGAATTCCTTTTCAGCCCCTTCGTAATGGCAAAACACTGCAATTTAAATGCTCAATTTAAATCCAAACACCCAGTCAGAGGGGGATTTCTTTGGCACCTGAAAGCCCAGCAAGGTGCATTCTGGGATACAATTTCAATGTTTACCTGTACAGGGTCGCTATGAGTCAGAAGCGACTCCACGGCACATCACCACCACCTGCAGAGAACTGGTCAGGACAACCTGAGTCTAACCTCAAGGGCCCAGATGGGACAATCCAAGTGCCCAAACAGAGGGGATTGTTTGGAACCTAAATGTCCAGATAATGGGCAACCTAAATTCCCCTGGGTCTACAGGACAACACAATGACCGACTACAGGGGCCTGGTCAGCTCCTAAATGTCCAATCCCAGGGTTTGGTTGGTATTTAAAATGTCCAGCCTGGATAGGTTGGCTGGGAGGACCCAAGTATTATATGTGGTTAGAATATAAATCTACAGGGGATTTGCTTGGCACTCACCGTAGATGAACAAGCCAGCTACAGGCAGGGGTGTAGCCATGGTACATGGTACAACCTAAATGCCGAACTATCGGGGATTTGGCTTGGAAAGTCCTGCAGAATCCTGAATCCCTACATAAGACTTCCGGACAACCCAGGTCAGATCATAAATGTCAGTGGTATGTAAAATGTTCAGACTGGTTGCGCTGATTGACACAATCCACATAACCAACACTAGGGGACGGGGACTGAGCCCAGCTTGAACAGGGCCTCAGCGATGGTGACTCTGCCTCTTATCTGGGCCTGTTTCTTCCGACTCTGACTTTTGACTGAATGCCAAGACCTCCGGTGCCGCTCCGCCGCGACTTCCGCTAAGCGGGTTTCCGCACAGCGGGACGGACGACGGCCAGAAGTCGCCCCCCTCCGGCCCGAGCCCGTCGGGTCCCAGCCTCACCAGGCGGTCCCGGCCCCTGTAAGACTCCAGCGCCGACGCCAGGCCGCTCAGCGACGCCATGGCAACTCCGCCGTGACGTCAGCGCGGCGCGCCAGCGGGCGGGGCTGCGCTCCCGGAGAACGTTCGGAGGGCCAGCGCGCGCTCTACGCAGGCGTGGAAGCCGCCCTTTGTCACAGTGCTGGCGCTTTGTTTGCAGCGAGGAGAACCGGCGAGTGTGGACTCCAGGCGCCCACGTGTCGCTTCCCGGGCCTGTGGCTCCCAAGTCATTGAATTCGCCGCTGCCCCTCGGCGCTTGTCTTTTCAACTGCCCACACAAAAGTATTCCAAAAACACCAATCTGGTAGCTGTGGTTCAAAGAGGGATGGTTTTTTTCCCAAGCTTGGTGGCATTTTCTATTTTTACTATTATGAACATGTATTATTCTTCAAAAAGTTAAGAGAATGCATCGAATATTTCTTAAAAAAAAAAAAACAAGTTGTTGTTCTGCAGTACTAGGTGACTGGGAAGAAGAGATTTGATTTTCACCTTTGTGCTCTTGGAGCTTTTGAGTATTTTATAATTGTGCTTGTATTTGGATTGCCTCTTCCAAAAGCCAACAAAAGTTTTAAATAAATTAACATGTAACTACCTAAAGGACTATTATTATCGAGCATTAATCTAATTTAAGGCAACTCTGGCAGTGGTGGTGGTGTTGTTAGGTGCCATGGAATTGATACGGACTCATAGCGACCTTATGCACAGCAGAATGAAACACTGCCCCATCCTGGACCAACCTCGCTACTGTTGCCACGCTTGAGCCCATCCATGCTGCCACTTGGCCAATCCATCTGGTAGTGTAGTGGGTTAGAAGTTGGGCTGCTTTTCGAATCTACCGGCAGTTATGTGGGAGAAAGAAGAGGCTTTCTGCTCCCATCAAGATTTACAGCCTCCAAACCTACAGCCTGGGAAACCCTGCACAGGGTCGCTATGAGTCGGAACCGACTCCACGGCACATAACAAACAACAAACCTACCAGAGGGTTGCTATGATGGAGAACCGACTCCCCCACATATCACCACCAACAACAACAATCTAACTTGATTCCATACTTGTAAGTTACCCAACTCTCCGCTCTGTTTCTCTTGTTCCTCACCCTAGACACTGGAATTTTTATGACTTTTTTTGTATTTCTCAAAGACAAGTGTATTGTGCGCAGTTGCCTGGGCGATACCGCCTGGAGGGTCGTTAGTACATTTAAAAAGATTGCACACTTGTGCGTCACAAATGCTACTCTTGCTTTATCTGATTGTCATCATCCGCGTTGACATCTTGTGATTATCTTGTGACTTGAGTAATGTAAAGCGCCTGGAAAAGTATGTGACGCCCCAGAGGGTGCATTTTGGTGTAAATGCATCTTAAACTCTGTGTTTTGATCACAGTTGAAATTCCACTAAGACAGCCTGTCTTGCTGTCAAAATCCCCACTGGTGCCACCTTCTAATAAAACTTCTCTTTTTCAATCTAACTTTGAGTTGGTGAATTGATGCCTCTCTTGTAGGGCACAAATCCTTATTAAGGGTAACAGACATGCCCATTTTTCTTTCTTTTCTTTTGAGGTTAAATTTACATACCAAAATTGTATATTTTTAAATGTACATTCACAGGGTTCCTGACTGGTGCAAACTGTTTGCCCTGGGCTACTAGCCTAAAAGAGCAGTTCAAATCTACACAGTGGTACTTCAAAAGAAAGGTCCACTGGTCTATTTCAGTAAAGCTTGTTGCTGTTGTTAAGTGCCATCGAGTTGGTTCCGACTCATAGCGACCCTGTATAATATTTCTGATGAGCACCTGGGTAAAGATGACAACCAATGGCATACAGTGGTACGTTAACATATAGACTTACTTTGAACCTGAATTGACCTAAAGGTAATGTTGCTGTTAGGTGTCATCAAATTGGTACCAACTCATAGCACCTTATGCACAGCAGAACGGAACACTGCCCGATCCTGGGCCAACCTGACTATTGTTGCCACACTTGAGCCCATTGATGCGGTCACTTTGCCAATCCATCCCGCTGGGGTTCTTCCTCTTTTTCTCTGACCTTACCAAACATGATATCCTTCTCCAGTGACTGGTCCCTCCTGACAATATGTCTGAAGCATGAGACACAAAGTTTGGCCATCTTGGCCTCCAAGGAACATTGTGCCTGTACTTCTTACAACACAGATCTGTTGGTTCTTTTGGCAGCCCATGGCACTTTCAATATTCTCCTCCAACACCATAACTCAAAAGCATCAATTCTTCTAAGGTCTTCCTTATTCACTGTCCAGCTTTCACATGCATATGAGGTTATTGAAAATACCATGGCTTGGGTCAGGCGCACCTTAGTCTTCAAGCTGACATCTTTGCTCTTCAACACTTTAAAAAGGTCTTGTGCAGCAGATTTGCCTAATGCAATACGTGGTTTGATTTCTTGACTGCTGCTTCCATGAGTGTTGATAGTTGATCCAAGAAGAATGAAGTCCTTGATAACTTCAATCTTTTCTCCGTTGATAAGAATGTTGTTTATTGGTCCAGTGGTGAGGATTTTTGTTTTGTTTACAGTAATACATCTGGGTTGTTTATTTTTTTTGGGGGGGGGTTATTTGATTTAATTAACACACACAATGTTTTGTCAGTTTCTAGTTTGAAACACTGTCTCAAGAGGATTTCCTACCCATTAAGAAGTTAGTCTCCTCCCTCAAGCTCCTGTTCTTGTTAGCTGCTGTGGAGTCGGGCCCTCACTCCTGGCAACCCCACAAACAACAGAATGACACACTGCCCAGTACTGCATCATCCTCACAATCGGTGTGGATAGGATTGTAGTGATCCATAGTGTACTCACTGGCTGATTTTTTGGAACTAGATCTCCAGGCATTTCTTCCTAGTCTATCTTAGACTAGGAGCTCCACTGAAATGTGTTGAGCAGCACACAGCCTTTAATGACAGATGGGCAGTGGGGGTGCATGAAATACATTAACTGGGAATTGACTCTAGGTCTCCCCATTATGGGTGAGAATTCTAACACTCAACCAACAGTGAAGACCCTATAACTAGTGTTTTGCTTATTTATCTAGTCATTTGCCGTCTCTTATCCATAGTGTAGAAGTCCCCAAGTCAGAGCTTTTGATCTTTCTTGTGTTCCCATAGCCTGACACAAATAGATGTTGGGTGCCCATGGGCTCGGCTCCCATCCACGACTTCACACTGTACTGCTGCAACGTCACAATTGTTAAGTTTGAGCCCATGGTTGCTGCCACCATCAGACCATCTTGTTGGGGTCTTCCTGTTTTTCTCTGACCCTCCACCTTACCAAACATGATGTACTTCTCCAGCGACTGGTCCCTCCTGACAATACTGCCGAAGTATGAGAGACGAAGTTTGGCCATCTTGGGTCCATTCCCTTGGGTCCTGTAGTCATTTCTTTGCTGGCCTTTGCCACTTCTATCTTCCTTCTGTTTCCCTGCTACCAATTCCCAGTATGATCACATGGGGCCCAGAGAGGTTGAGGGAATTCTCCAAGGTCACACAGGATCCTCTATCTTCCTCTATGCAGGAGTTTTTATAGCTGTCATCCCTGACCATCCATTTCCCCCATACATCCCACAAGGCCCTCAGCAAATTCCAGACAGACCACAACATCATCTTCCAAATCTCTTCCTCTCCTGAGTCCCCATTACAGGGGCAGCCCCACCATCCACCCAACCACCCAGCCACAGAACTCAACACCTGCTTATTCCTTTCCTCTCCCTTCACATGCCCCCTTTCCATATTAGTCTCCTAGAACCCCCATTGTAAAGCGCCACACTGTGTGTGTCCTAAGACAACAGAAATGTACTGTCTCACAGTTCTGCAGGCTGAAATCCAAAGTCAGAATCATCACATGATCTTTGAAGGCTCTAAGGAAGCATCCTCCTTCGCTTCTTCCTGTTTCTGTTGATTTCTGGCCATCCTTGTTCCTTGACTTTGCCACGTACCCTTCTGATCTCTGCCTCTGTCGCCTCATGGCTTCTCCCCTGTGTGTGTCTATGTCGTCACATGACCTCCTTGTTAGACCACCACTCAATGGATTTGGGAAACCACCCTAAGTCAGTATGGCTTCATTTTAACCTTAACAATTACATCCACAAAGATGTGATATCTAAGGTTTTGTGTCAACCGGTTGGGCCAGGATTCTTAGTGGTGTAGCAGCTAAATGTAGTTATCACCTCCAGGATGAGATCTAATATGATGCAGTCACCCCCATGGTGTAATCTGATGTGATTGGCTCAAATCTGATGTAATTAGCCACTGTGTTATCACCCTTCATGTCTATGGTACTAATGAGGCCAGATGTAATAGATAGAATTAGGGTGGCTCTTGAGTCAATCCCCCTCTTTTTTTAACCCCTCCATGTTTGTGACTTTTTTTTTTTTTAAGCTTTTATTGTGAATTGAGTGATAGTTTATAGTTTACATGGGAAAACATTGGTTTTACACTCATCCTATCATATTTCATTTCATTGCAATGATTACAATCCCCTCCATGCATCATCATTTAACAGTATTTGCTTCTATTCCCTGTTTTTGTTTTGTTTTGATGTACACAAAAGCACGCAGGAATAGATCATCATTTAAGTAATCAAAGGACACATTCTGTGAGCCTGCCTTCTGGCCACCAGCACACAGCCTTTCTCTTTCCATGAATCTAGAGTCCTCAGCTGCTCCTTCTCTCCATGTCCCCATCTCTGCCTCCATCTCTGGTGTCACTGCTTCTCTGGATAAGGTCCCACATTCTGCTCGTGCTCTTCTCCCTTGATGGTCTTAGAGTCTTCTATTCCTGGGTTATAAGATTAACTACTCTCCCCTTTTTGTAACAAAACTTCTACCTCTACACTTGTGATAGTCGCAATTATTCATGATAACAATTACTATTGAATTAAAAGAATCCTATCCCCATCTCCTGTCACCAGACCCATCTAGACACGATAAAAAACTATTCAGCGGGGATTCTGCCTTCCTCCCCACGCTCTGAAACTAAACTCCCTTTTGTAAACGTGTAAGC